AACAATAAAAAAGAGAAGAATTTTGAATCTCCGCGGCGCTAAATGGTTGTTCTAACCTAACCATCTACACAAAACAGATAAATCTTGCATTCCTGAAAAAATTGTACAAGTTAATGATTACATCATTACATTACAAAATACTATTAATAGTTTAATTAATATTATATTAGTAGCATTGTTAGTAAGTAATATACCAACTTTAGATTATAGTAATCATTTTCTAATGGCGTGTTCCTATCGTCATTATATGGTTTCACTTTTTTTTCTCTCACAGATTTTGAAAAGTGTCATTGTTATCCATGATCTGGATAACCAATCGTTCTGTCTTCTAATTTTTTTGCGATACTTGTTGACAATGTGGAAAACAGGATAAACGCCTCTGGAATTCCGAGACCAATTAGTCTGTCACCATCTTATTGCATATTTTTAATTTTGTTTTATAATAAATGTATCACTCGTGTAAGAAGTTTCTTATATTCTTTAGACGTTATTAATCGAAAAATATTAGAGGAGGACTTTAAATTGGCGTTAATTCCGCAATTGGTTAATGAGCGGACGAGGTCATATTAATCGTTCACTACGAAGAGCGTCCAAGGTGCAGGACCGTCCTTCTTTCTTCACATTTATAAAACCGCCATGTGCGTTTTCTTTGTTTTCTTTATTTTCCCTTTCGCCCTCCAGTATAAACACCGGGCGGGTTTTTGCCTATTTATCTGTTGATTTGTCGCTTTCTATTTTTAAACGACCGGGCTGATCTTTTAAATCAGATCGGCCGTTTCCCTCTCTCACCCCCTCGCTCTCACCTTCTCACTCACTCTCTCTCTCTCTCTCTCATTCACTCTGATTCATATTTGGCATGGATTGTTTTTCTTTGGGCGTTTTAATGAAGACGTGCCGGTTAATAAATTGAATGACAGGGGGGGAGGGGAAACAAAAGATTTCAATGTCACGTGTCATTGCCAAAGAATAGCGAGCCAGAAGTTAGAAGGTTGGCCAATTTTTCCCACTTTCCGTTGACCTCCTGGAAGGTTTTTTAAATAAAAATTTAAAAAAATATTTAAAACCAACAAATTACAATTTAAATTTTTGTTTAACGTAAGGTTTTTAAGAGAAAAAAATTATAATTGCGACGTGGGTCAAACCATTCGCTTTTGAAAAATTAAGACATAAACGAACAAACAAAAATTGTTTAATACAGACGGGAAAAATATTACACGTTAAAAAGAAATAAATTCTCTTTCTGAATTATCGCCCAATTTAGCGGAACCGACAAGCAGAAAAATGTAAGCCGACTCATGATAATTCGAAACCCAAGGGACCACCAAAATTATTCGAATTATCGAGAGGAAAGAAAAAAATCGAATTATCAAGATGCATTTTTAAAATATCTAATTTAAATTGTACATATATAAAATCTCGTAAAAATAATGAAAAAGTGGAAATAAATCAACCAAAATGAGGGACTTCGTATCAGAAAGTTCGAATTATCAAGTTTCAAAGTTACAAGAGTTATTACTTATTTGCTACCATTACAAATCATTAAAAGAAAATATTTTTAAAAAATTAACCGGCGCAATTACTGAAAGTTTTGTACTTATGGTAAACTTTGTAAACATAAATAAATTAAAACGGCCGTGTTGATGAAACATGCCGATTTCATTTTCAGAAAACAATTGTTGTGATCTTCACCAATGACCTTCTTGCTGTTAATTAAATCATTCGACTTTTACGAATGAATAGGATAAGGTTTTATTATTTTAATTGGCGATAATTACAAGGTGTTTGTTGATTTGGTATCGGCACGGAAATAAAAATGAGTGTTTAATCGGTTTTAAAAAGTCATTGACGCTAGAGAAATTTTAAAATGTTGAAAAACAGTTGACAATATGTAATTAATTAAAGTTTAACTAAATATGGCAAAAGTATACAAACTGCCTTAATAAAAAATTAAAATAAAACCTGTAATAGTTATTTTAACCTTTTATAAATCCCAGGCCCTGAAGATGATCTCAATAAAGATCGAAACGTTGGCACGATGAAGAAAATGTTTTTCTGAAACCTCACGATTTCTGAATTGTTATTTTAATGTTTAAACTTTAAAATTCTAAGCGATCCAAGAACGAATTCATGGATAGTGAAAAATTGCACTTAAAAATAAATAAATGCTCAATATTTGACTTTTTCTATCCTTATCCTATTTTATTCCTTTTTTATCAGAATATTTTAAATTGGGCTACAACGAGAGAAACAAGCTGATATCAGCCAAAAAACACCTTTCCACCAAATTATCCCTTTATCATTTTTATAAGGTTTTTATTGTAGAACATGGAATTTTTTGAGACTGTTTTATCTTTTTTAATTATTTTTTCTCCATGTTTTTGTTTAAAAAAGAAGGTAACCTTTCATCTTGGCCATGCGATTTGTCGATGCAGAATGGTCATATTTTAAAACAATTTAAGAGAAATATTTAATGAAAAATTTTAAAAAAATTAAGAACTGATGATGGGTGTAAATTCCCGAAACATCCAAATAAATGTTTAAATAAGTTGTGCATTTACTTCTTTAAAAAAATTACATGGATTATTTTTTTTTACAAAAACAACCAAATTGTTGTTTATTGTAAGTATTAAAAGTAAATTGTTATTTGTATATTGTTGTTATTGTTTATGTTCTGGGTAATTCAATCCATCGGAATTATATTCGAATCTTCCTGCTTTATTAGAATTTTTTAATGGGGACTACTGCAAGAGAAACTTGTGGATATCTGCTGGAAAAAAATTAGATTCGAATAAAACAGACCTAAAAATCTTATTTTTCGCAGAATTATCTAAAAAGGGCTTAGGGGCAAGAGAAACTTGTGGACATCTACTGAAAAAAAATTAGTTTCGAATAATGCAAACCTAAAAATCTCATTTTCTCGCAGAATTATCTAAAAAGGGCTACCGCAAGAGAAACTTGTAGACATCTACTAAAAAAAGATTAGATTCGAATAATGCAGACCTAAAAATCTCATTTTCTTGCAGAATTATCTAAAAAGGGCTACCGCAAGAGAAAATTGTGGACATCTACTGAAAAAAAAGATTAGATTCGAATAATGCAAACCTAAAAATCTCATTGTCTCGCAGATTATCTAAAAAGGGCTACCGCAAGAGAAAATTGTGGACATCTACTAAAAAAAAAAAGATTAGCTTCGAATAATGCAGACCTAAAAATCTCATTTTCTTGCAGAATTATCTAAAAAGGGCAACCGCAAGAGAAAATTGTGGACATCTACTGAAAAAAAAGATTAGAGTCGAATAATGCAAACCTAAAAATCTCATTTTCTCTCAGAATTATCTAAAAAGGGCTACCCCCAAGAGAAACATGATGACATCTACTGCAAAAAAATACCTTTCCACCAAATTATCCTTCTATATTATTACAATTTCTTGTGTATTCGTTTATAATCTGGGTAGTTCAATTGATCGGGATCAGATCCTCATAATGCAGACCGAAAAATCTCATTTTCTAATAGACTCTTCTAACATGGGCTACCGGAAGAGAAAACAATCGGACATCTACTGCAAAAAGGTTCACCTAATCATACCTTTATCATTATTATAATTATTTCTGAAGTTTGGTATCAAACTAGAAAGCTGAATTAATCGGGAACAACTTATTATAACAGACCTATGGCCTCCTGCTTTATTATATTTTTTAAGAGGGACTACCGCTAGAGAAACATATGGACATCTACTGCAGAAAAATCAACTTTTCATCCAGGTAGCCAATCGTTATAATTATTTTTGTAGATGACGGTAATCTGGGCTTTTCATTATTATAATTATTTCTGAAATTGGTTATCGATCTAGAAAGTTGGATTAATCGGGATCAAATTAGATTAATACAGACATAAAGTCTCCTTGTTTATCAGAGTTTTTTTACGAGGGACTTTGGCAGAAAACCACGCGGACTTCTGAAGAAAAACTGCTTTTAATACAATTAACCCCCTTATCATAACAATTTCTTTAGTTGATTATTCCCAAATAGTTCTTTATGATCTGAGTCATTTAGTCAGGATTAGATGGAAATAATACATTTTGCCAAGTCCTTTGTTTAAAAAAAATGGGCTACCACGGGGGAAACATGCCGACATCTTCTGCAGGAAAGCACCTTTCGTCCAATTACCCCTATATATTTCCATATGAGCTGGAAATTTCAAGTATTCAATTCAAGAATAGAAACATCTAAATCAAATAATCCCCATTATAGTTTTCTATGACCTGTGTTTTAATTAAAGGATTAGTTTGAAATAGCACCAGAATCTATTCAAAGGAGCTACTGCGAAGAAAATACGCAGACATCTACTGCCGATACGAACAATTTAATCAAATCTCCCAATATAGTTCGTTAATTATCATTGATCTTCCAAGAAATGAATCGTTATCTTGACAATGTACGGGTTAATCATAAACCCAAACAAGAAGAAGGTCGTTCAGGACTTATTTGCCAAAAATTATTTAATACATTTTTCATAACTTGGAACAAAGGATCTTCGGTGAGGTCACAACAAAACGACAATTTTCTAAATTTTTGCCGAGTTTTCGACGATTATATCGTCATCATCAGGGCTTTAACTCGATGAGTGTTTAAATATGTCTTGAGAAAAAAAAACTGCATTTATAATAAGATTATTTAAAATTAGGTGAAGCTCTTTAACCGAGATTCTGAGCCTCACCTAATTTTAAATAATCTTATTATAAATGCAGTTTTTTCTCAAGACATATTTCAGCACACATCGAGTTAAAGCCCTGGTGATGACGATATAATCGTCGAAAACTCGGCAAAAATTTAGAGAATTGTCGTTTTGTTGTGACCTCACCGAAGATCCTATTTTCCAAGTTTTCAACAGCAGGTCGATCCATCATCTCATCTTTAAATTTTTCATAGTTAAGGATTCTTAATACTTTGTATGCTGCACAGCTCTTCTGTATATTAATATTATTTATTTTTCTTTCTAGTTGAAGCGTGCACCCTTCGCTTCTACACCCTGGTTGAAGTGTTTTTAGGCATTTACTTACTATATGGTATTTACAAGGTAATTTAAATTGAAATTACTTTAAAGTCATATATTTTTTTTAACTTGATTTCATAATTTTTAGAGGAAACTGCACTACATCCGAGCGTGGGTGGTGATACAGGTGGTCTTGCTGGCGGTCTCTGCCCTGTCGGACGTACTGCTCATCGTTCTACACTTTTTCGTTTTTAAGACTGAAATCGACACGCTGATAATAGTCAATGTGATTGTTACCGGTAAGAAAAATTTAATTTTAAAAGAAATCAAATTTGAAAAATCATGGCGGGTTTTATATGGAATAATTCGTCTTTTCTTTAATAATGGCGCCCCGAGACAAGCCGAGATTCACAGAATAAAGGAATTAGACGTAGACAAAATAGATACAATATGGAAAGCTGCTAAGTTTATAAAAATACATAAGGTTAACGAAGTTCAAATTGAAAACCTACCTGATAACCTCTAAAAGAGTATCAAACATCAACAGTACCTCAGGATTTAAGGACCTTTACCAGTGTAAGGTCATTTAGTCTGTAGACAGTACTACGATTGACCAGGCCCATCAGGGTCAATAAACAAGCTCTTTGGACATGGAGAAGAGACATTCGATAGACTGCCTGTTTGCAAGAGTAAAACTAATACACATAGTCCACTTTGCCCTATTGCCTCTTCTTCAGTATTCACAGGTATTTTCAAATTAAGCAGTTCAACTGGTCAGAACTCAAGAACTTAAGTTTGGTATTCCCCAAGCTCTGCAGGCTTCTCGCTTATTTGTGTAGTTGCTTAGTTCAAATTGACTCTATCCTTCTTTTAAGAAGTAGAAGATCTTGGCTGTATGGCTGCAATTTTTCCCGTGTCATCTTGCTATCCCAAGTTATCTCCATTTGTTGTTTAGCGTTTAAAAATAAGATAGACAGCTGTCTATTGTTCATCCTGGAGGCCTAAGACAATTGTGAAAAGAACTAAATGACAGCATCACCAGGATTTGCAGGTTTTGTCACCGCTGGAAACTTAGGATTAATGTTCCCAAAACTGAGGCCATATTTTTCACAAAACGACGACCAATATTCAGGGAAACCATTTCAATTCACGGACACAAAATCGAGTGGTGTGAAAGGGTAAGTACTTGGGTTTAACTCTGGACCAAAAACTTAACTTCTCTAGACACATAAATGAAATTACAAAAGGTAAAATAGCTATAAAAGCCTTATTTCCGCTGATGGCCCGTGAGAGTGGAATGAGCTTTGAAAATAAACTATTTATAAAGTAGTTATAAAACCTATGCTGCTGTATGCTTGCCCAACAAGGAGTTACACGTGCGAATCCAACATCCAAAAACTGCAAGTGGTCCAAAATAAATTTCTAAGGTTTATTACGTCACTACCACGATACACCAGAATTGGCCTCCTCCATGAGAAAGCGGGAGTGGAGTATATTAATTCTGAATTAAAGCGTCTGTCCAGGAATTTTTTTATGGGTCTCTCCTCCAGCAAGAACACTACTTGTAGGGATATAAGAGTGTATGGTCTAAACTTTCCATGGAAACATGGAAGGATCAGGCACAATACATAAATTTAGGAACTGTGATGTATTTATTTGTTGTTGTTGTTTCCTCTAGAGCTGTGATACTATAAGACAATTTGTGATTATTCAATTACCCGTAGTGCATTGTTCTTGTTATTCTCATTTATTTATTTATAATATTGTTAACATATTTTTGTTAATTCTTTTGCTAATTGTTATCCTATTTGATACCTAGTGGGTTTTTACGAAAATTTTTCCCACTATTTTTCTAGTTTGATTAATTAAAAATAACAACGAACTAGGACTAGGTGCGTTGATAGGCAAATTTTTGAAATAGGTCGTAAAAGTGCCCCGCCACTTCCCCTGCTTAATGAATGTATGTAACATAATGTATAAGTATATTTTTTTAATAAATGTTTATTCATTCATTCTACAAATGGGTTTATTGTAAAATAAAACCCTATTTCGTTTAGGTGTTTTCTCAGATGCCAGTGATCAGCACTCTCTTTCGTTTTAGTCTGATTAGCTTTAGTAATGAGTGCCCCTGTGATGGATTTGTCACGCTGACCAATTGTTTTGTTGAGCTTTTGACCACCAGATTTATGAGCCAGGATCCAGTCTATTCCTTTTCGCCGACGAATTATATTCTTCTTAAAATATTCGACAATCACGACAGTATCAGAATCTCCCAAAATGTCTCATTAAGAAAAAAGACTTGGGTGGTGTTTTGGAAGCAAAGCACCTAGGTATCAGACACGTACGCCAGCGGAAAGAGTTCAACAGAAAACGAGTATCGACTATATCAACAGATCAAGTCCATGTTTACTTATGTCAAGCAGAGAAGTGCCAGCTAAATCATCAAGTACCTGTTATCGGTAACTGTCCTTAACCTGGAAAAGTTTTACACTATTTATAAGCAGGTTTGGAACAACAGAAAAGGTTCAAAGATCAAATGGAAATATGTCCTCACCAAACGTAAAATTTTCATGGCATGATAGATGTTCGAACGGTAAAACTATGACAAACTATAAACTTATTTGAAAAATAATACTTTTAAGCTCTGTTTAAACAAGATCGTAACTACATTCATCAATTGGAAGGGGAAATGGATCAAGAAGCCATAGCCGATTATAGCAGCGTTCAAATGTATTTTATTGTTTTATGGACAACAATTTTTCCGCACTCTTATCCACACTACACCTATATAGATTTTTTCCTTTCAAATTTAGATATCATTGAACATTCACTCTGTGGGCGATATGAGAAAAACCAGCCAAAAATAAAAATATGTGCATCTATTTTTCTTGTTATCTTTACTTTCTAGCCTTGCTTTTGGCAGTTTCGAGGCCGTTAAAACGATAACGGAATTTTCTTATTTAATTGTCAACACTTGATTATTTAAATCAACAATATTGTTAGATTAATAACAAATATTTGACAAATCTAAGCAAGGAAAGAGTTGCAAGATCAAGGTCGTTTATCGAGCTTTCGTTTTTAATAATTGATATAAATTTCCATGTAAGTTTTACTCTCTAAAGATAATCTATTTAGAATTTTACGTCGTGTTAAACCTTTCTTTGTACAGATTTTTCAATTTCTTGTGGTTTTGTTGCAGGATTTCACGTGTTTAGCATTATGGTAGTCCACAGCTATGAGGTGTCCATGAGAGGAAGCCAATCGCTTTACCCGTTATGATGCAATTAAAACTTTTTTGTTGTTGTAAATATTATTAAACGATACCTGACTGTTTGCTTCTTTTTTTAACTAAAACTATAACGTTTATTATGTTTACGTCGTTGTACAATTTATTAAAATATTATTTTTATTGTACGATTTTATTTTTTTTCACCGCTCAAAACTTCTCTCCGACAGGACGTGGCCAAGGTGTTTTCTATGACCGTAGAAAAGAAAAAAAATTTCCTTTAGAATGAATAGTAAGTCTCTTTCAAGCAGTAATCCTAGGATTAGGGTTCAAAACCCACTCGCACCCTGGAGCGTTGAACTCGCTGGCCAAAAAACACCAAACCAAAACCAGGTTCATGGTAATAATGATTTAATTTTATCAAAATCGAAAACCAAACTGCCTTTAACAATTTTTAAATAGAAATATTGCTATTGTTAAACATTTAGAAATAAAAAATTGATCGAAAAGATAAGATGATGATCATCTGGTTTATGACGAATAATTAAATTGCAGATTCAATGTTTTTGTTGATTAAAATATTTTCCTCTGTTGTAAAAATACCAAAGCCAGGTTACGTTTGAATCTTTGAAGGTAAATCAGAGAGAATTTGGAAAGGCAAGAAAAGCAAGATAATCTGACCCAAGATGAGATACAAAGTCTTAAAAACGTTAATTATAAATACGATTTTCTATAAAAATTTACAGGCAGATCATGTCCAATATCTATGAGAAAAAGTAGAAATCTTTTTCTTTATGTTTATGCTGATGAAACAAAGAAATTCTCTTGTCCACCAAAGCCTGGTATCGACGCGTAGAATTTTAAGAAGCTAACCCTAGTCCATATAAAAAAATTCTTGGTTATCCGGACCACGAGTAAATCTATAAACTGCTGATGAACCTTCGGCTAAATACGCTTCTCTACCACTTGAGGTCGTGGGTTCGAATCCCGCTCGTGACACTAGCTTTTTCATTTCAACCAAAAACCTAACATAAAAAGATTAATTAATTGAAAGAAATAATTTGGTCAATATAATGGAATTAACGTTTATGATGATCAAAGGACAAATTTCTTTATGAAGGAAATCCACCAAAGCTGGGTATCGCTGTGTTTGGACTCCAGCTATTTAGTCATTGCCACCTCGATAACTACTGGTAGTTTGAAAGGATAAAACCTAGATTATCTGGTCAATAAATAGGACGCAAAAAAATGCTAATAGTTCTTTATGTTTCTGTTGATAAAACAAAGACTAGTTTTTCTTTGTGGTGAATCCGCCAAAACTACATATCACTGGGTTAAAATTCCAATTTCTATTCCGTGTCACCTAGGTTATTGCCAGTTTAGGATATAACCCGGATTATCTGATCTATGAATGATAAATTCCCAAAAGCCGGCCGGAAACATCACTATGTTTCAACGACGCTAAAACAACAAGATTTCGTCACCCAATCCATAGAATGAATCGCTGATAAATGTTATGAGAAATAAATAAATAGTAAAGTTTAGATGACGAACGGGATAAAATTTCTCCCTGCAGTAAACCTACCAAAGCAGTGTATCGCTGCGTTGAAATTTTAGCAAATAATCAGTACACGTTTAAAAGAACAAGTCCTTGATGGAAATCCAACAAACCTGGGTATCGCTGCGTTTGAAGCATAAGATTTTAAAATTTTGGGATTGTTGTTATCCTGATACACTTTAACGTTGTTGATCATGAAAGGGACAAAATTTTGGTTATATGGTGCATGAGCTGAAAACGTTGAATGTTTCGGTTGACGGATCGTATCTTGCAGTCAATCCACCGAGCAGTGTATCGCTGCGTTCAAATTTTAAATTCTGACCACCGCCCACCCAAAAGAGAAGATTTTGACTATCAAGTCTAGCCGATTAATCAACATTATTGAAGAATAGAAAGACAAAATTTCCGTCTCTTGTAAATTCACCAAGATGGGTATCGGAGCGTTTTAATTTTAAAATTCAAACCACTGCTATTTTGAAAGAACGAGATCTTTCGGATAATAAGTTGAATGTTTTGACTGGCAGAACGACCGTTGCAGTAAATCAACCAAAATCGTGCATCGCTGCGTTGTATTTTTAAAAACTATAATTCCAAACGTTTATTTACACTTTTAATGTTAAACATGCAATGTTAAATTTAACATGCTTGTTTTCTCTGAGCCGTTTGCTTCTAAATTCTTGTCCATTTTCTGAGCAAATTGAAGCATTTTGATTTTCAGTTTTTTGTTTTCTTCTTCTGAGTTTACGTCTTTTTTTCCGAAGATATTTGAAGGCACTTGAACAATATCTTTTGTAAAATGGACAAACTTCTTAATTCCGGCTTTATTTATTTATTTTTGCGTACACACCACTTCAAATTGGGACAAGGCACATCCCGGGGGGATGTTTCGCCCGCAATCGATTCGAAAGGGCGCCTCTTTGTCCAGTGGTCCTCCACCCCTAGAAATCTCCAGCCAATTCTCACTCCAGAACGACGGCCAGATTGGCGGAGGTGCCCCTATCCGTGATTTAACCTTTAGTAAAATTTTACTTCACCGCCAAAAACAATCGCAAAAACTGGACTAGAAATCGATCTCCCTATACCCAAATTGTCATTCTCGTTCTATTAGTGAGTATTTTTCTTAAAGAACATCTTGACAATAAGTTAGTTTTGAGAATGTGATAAGGCCACAGAATAATTTTATTTTTATGTATTGCATATATTTAGAATGTCACACTATCAGTACCACAGTACTCAAAAGAAGTTGAGTGTATGTTTATTTTAACTAAATTTATCAAACAATAAAATATGATTTAATTACATAATTATAGATTATAATTAGGTAAAATTGCTATAGATCACCTTGCTGGTTAGCAAATATTCAGCATTTTTCTCAGAAGACTTTCTTGTTTCACAGATAAGATAATTGGCTAAATCCTTGGCGAAAATTTAAAAAAGTCAACTCTTCAAATAATGGGTGGGTACTGTTTTTTCAGTAATATAACATTTCTTATTTAAACAAAACTCGCAAATTTTTTCCTTCCGCCCAAAAAAAATCTATAAATAAGATAGATAATATAATAGACAATAATTTAAATGCCTTTCCCATGGATCAGTTCTAGGCCCGCTTTGTTTAATATTATTAAAACGTTGTTCATTATAAACAATTTATTACATTAAAAGATTACTGAAAATTTAAGGCCATTATCAAGTGATTATAAGATAATATTGCCAGGTTTTGTTGTGAGGTAGCCTGATTGTTCAGGTATTTCTAGCTAGAATCAATTTACAGAATAAAATTTTTAAAATATTTTAATATATCATAGAAGACAGTAAACCATTAATCTTACTCTCAAATTTGGTAAAGTGGGTGAAAGTCCAATAAATTCTCTAATATTGTGACTATTGACTTGCCCCTTGAGATATTGTTTAGTGCAAAAAAATTAAACTAAATTTTTAATAGCTAAATAAACTTTTATTCAAAACTTTCTTGCTAATAAGAAAATTTAGCTTAAAAAATATAATTTTTCACAATAGATAGAAAAACACCTAAAAAGTGTTAAACAAATTTCATGACAGTACTAATGGTTTTAAATCTAAATTGTGATAATTCCTGAAATGATTTATTATCGTGGCTTAAACGTGGTGACTCAAAGTTATTTAAAATCATTAAATCTATCAGATAAAGTCCCAAATACCACCTCGATAACTTTCGTACAAAAAGTAGTTACTAAAAATTTATAGAAAAAAGAAATCATTAAACAATAACATCAACTGTACTAGTGCTTTTTTATCTAAATTATATTTCTTGAAATCATTCATTATCAAATCTCAAGACTGGTGACTCAAAGTTTCAATTTTATAAATCCATCAGATAAAGTATTGTCAATTCTCTTCAATATCAATTATCCTGTAAATGCTTAGAGTAATTTGTACGTCCATTTGAAAAATATAAAACAGATAGCCTTGCCAGGAATTTTGATGTAATGCATGGCTGCACGAACACCTGGTGTTTGCCAATTACAAAAATATAAAAAAATCTTTAAAAATATATATATTTACCAATTGTAATTTTTAAAAAAAATATAGATAATTAAAATCTATATTGACAAAGGGGCTTTGATGTAAATTCTCAAGTATTCAAAATGGCTGGACAGTGTTTCAAGGAAAATTCATTGATTATCGTCCAATTACCAAATGAAATACCATTAAAGTAATACTTTTTCTTTTTGTCTTATACAAAAATAAGATTAAATTTTCCAAACTAGTCATGATTAGTCATAAATTTTTATAAATTCATTTTTATAAATGATTTTCATAAAAATGGTTGAATTGAAAAATAAGTGTTACAACAGGACTTGGAACCTACGACCTCCGGATCAGTACCCCAGCGCTCCATCATTTGAGCTATCTTGAGCTACCTTAAGACACCAACCAATCATCTCAACCTACAACTTTTAAATTGTCCTCTTTTTCTCCAATATTGAAATATAACGTTGCCATATGGATTCTTGGCGATATACGAATTATCTTCGGAGTTAGTGAATTATAGTAGCAAAGTTTTATTTATATTAAATATAGCTTTACCACTTGAGCTGTCCAATTAATCTTGTATCTTTCTTACTTTGCCTAAAAATAATAAATCAATTAAAATATTAGTCATAATATTGATCTTAACTTAAGAAGGACCCAGAATAGTTATTAATGATCTCATAGACCCTAATAATCAAGTGTCAAAAGAAATGATGAATGATGGAGTGAGTGCGGTGTTCAATCCATTTTAAAAAGATAGTTCCTACTCACAGTAAGTAATTACTTACTGTGAGTAGGAACTATCTTTTTTTAGAAAAAAGTAGATTAAATACTTTACACCAAAATATTAGAGTAGTATGTAAAAATTTGACATTTCAAACCTTGCTGATCCAGATAATCATTTTAACTGAAACACACCTGAAAGAAAAACTTCTATTCACATTAAAACATTCCTAACTCCTTAAAAATTTTGAAAACATCCTGGATTGGCTGATACTGTGGAGAAACATTAGACTAATTCAGCCAATACAGCTAAAATTACTTTCAAAACAAATAATTATAACTGCTGTATAGTGTGGGATATAAACCCCATCATTTAAAATTAAAATAAAGAAAATATTATTGAACAATTTTCTTGTCAAAATTAACCTGGAACCCTATAACATGTGTAGTATATATTGGAGAGTTTTTTCAAAGGTGCACCAGCCTGAAAGAGGGTGTCATAAAAAGATCGAAGTTGCCCATAGAAATAAACACCATGGAAAATATGCCTATACCAATGCTACTGGGATTTAACTTCTTTAACAATTAATTCTGCTTAATTCTGAATGGAGAGGACAAAAATATATCGTTCAAACACAACACAAAAGATTTTTACACTACTTAAAGAGCAAGACATTCACAATACAACACGGAACACAAATCTCACAATATACACAATACACTCAGCCAATGAAAATCAAGACATAAACAATACACCAGTAGAAAACAAATAACCTATAATACAACACAACATACACACATCAAGACTCTCACACAACACCAAGTCCTCAAGATGAACAAATAGAAAATGAAAAAATAAAAAATTACTTTATTAATAAATTTCAAGAGAAACTTATAGAAAAAATAAGCAAAGCAAAAGGCTACGAACTCCACATCCATTTTTTATTTTTTTATTTATTGCATGCACCCTTTTTATATTACATGCTTATAACAAGTATACTTGTAATATATCAAATAATTACATTTTATTTATAATATATGGTGCTTGTGTGTAGATTGCAATGAATTTAATAATGTTATTCTAATTTTGTCTTAACTTAGCCTCACATGTATATCACAGTAAATTAAAGTCTAGAGTCGAGGAACTTTAGAAAGTGTTCACTGCAAACGTTTGTAAGTGTTTTAAGAAAAAAATTAATTACATTAATTTAATAATAATTTCCAATAATTTGAACCTAAATAAAAAATAACGGGAAAAGGAAAAATGCAAAAACCTTGCCATGTTGGAAGAACACCAAGAAATTAATAAAGCAAAAATAGACAGCTTGAACACATGTTTGAGGTGTTCTGGCAGAAAGTGAAAAGCAGTTGATAAATGTGCTTGTTCAGCTTCATCAAGAGTTGGCTGAATTGCGAGGAACAGAAAAATTGGTTGAATTTATCAAAACCATGTCCACTGTGGTTGATGAAAACACTAACAAAATTACGGAGGCACACTCACAACACTAGCACAGACACCAATAACATATAAAATTTCACCTCTCAACAAAAAAAAAGGAACCAAGGAGATGGAAACAAAAGCACACATTCCACAAATCCCAGATGAAACACCCAATCCTTCATCCCTTCATCAATCCTCAAACCTCCAAAATCCACCAAACACGTGTATCCGGATTTTAGCATTCTACACATTTCCAGGGATTAGCACTCTTCAGAAAGCCCTTCTCATATCATGGAATTACATCAAAAAATACATAAATCATTTTTGAAAAATAGTATTTCTCCTACAGTAAAAAAATAAAATCATTACCAAATTTACACCTATACCAGCCTGCAGCAATCATAAAGTTTCTAACAGAACTAACACCAATCGCATTAACAAATAGAAACAATATTAAATTTTTTTTAACTATTTTAGCAGACAAAGAAAGCAATAAAATGATTGCCAATTTCTTGTACAATGCCATGGCTTTCAATAAAATAAAATTCAATATATTTTCTGAGTCATTGATCACACATGGTATGCTCAAAAAACATCTCCAAACAAAAGCACAGTTGCTGTTCGCTCTGCAGATGAGAACACTCCTCTCAGACAATTCACTGATTATCAATTAAAATTATTAGGAGAAACAAATTAATGTACGAACATTGCAGATTCAAGTTTTTAATTTTAATGGGGCACGCTGATAATATAAAATGTTATCAACATCTTTTTGATAAAATTAAGAAAGTAGAAATCACAATGAATGATAGAATATATTGGGAAGGGAAGAATATACTGAGCTATAACATGAGCTGGGTGTTTTTTTCTCGAAAGATTTGATGATTAACTTTTTAAGTTTGATTTTCAGGGTGTGAAACCTGAAAGAGGACTATGAAAATCTTCAATAAATGCTGTTGCTGTTCTTTAAGAACCGGCACAAAAATAATAGGCTATTATGAAGCGGTATAATTATATATATCTATTTATCCATCGGCTTTTAAATATTAAATCATGTAATAACATAATTATTTTTAGATATCTGGGGGAATAATTTGTGTCATATTCATTATATTTTTATTTGTATATCTCCTTGCATCATCATATGGGTTGAACGAACTGGAGGCAGAATCGAAATTGAAAAACATGACAAGTCTGTCTAACCTGACTAGAGAAACAGAAGTCGAGACCAAACCCCAGCGAGCATTAGGTTGGTCCAAAGGGTATACATTTCTTCATTATTATTTGTTAATCGGAAATTTTCTATTTCAGTCGCATTTTCTTTATTATTTTACATTACTTATTTCCTCTTTTATGCTATATTGGGAGGGGTTCTCATTCATGGTGTGAACAATGTGAGTCTAGAAAATACCATAGAATAAACTTCCTATATTTTCTTATACATATATATATTTGTTTGCAGGAAAAACGGAATCTAATCAACATATGGGTAAAAGTGAAAATCGCTATTCTAATATTGTCATTAATACCACTAGTGTTTCGCCTTTTCTTATTGCTGTTTGATTTGGATTCTAAACTAACTGGAGATATTGTTATGGGAAGTAAGACAAAAACATTTCTAAACATATCATCATAAACTCTTTTTGTTTACTAAAAGATAAAATTCTTTTCTTTGCAGTTTGGGACCTTGTGCTTATCGCATACGTTTACAGCTACTATGAAGAAATGGAAGAAGTCACTGAGAATCCGATGGCTGTTCTTTAATAATAAAGGCCTTCAAATGCAATATTCAATTAAATCCAGCTTTTATTTACCAAATCAATTTTAATTATAATAATGATTAAAGTTATTGGACTTTTTAAATGATTACTATTGTGAAGAAAATAAAAATAAAATATGAAATAAATAAAAAATAAGAAATGTCAAGCTGAAATATCTTGAATACAGATTGTTCCAATTAGTTAAAGATTTACGCTTAACTTCATGTAAATTTAATTAATTTCATTTTATCTTTATAATATTTTTTCGCTAAAACAGTAGCAGATATTCTAAAAAACAAAAACATTTCTCCAGCATGGAAACAACCGTGAAACAATAAATAAACTTATCACGCAGAAGTATGCAGTTATTTGTAGCATAAATTATACAGTTATATTACATAGTATAATTAGAAATAATCTATACTTAACTTTATTCTTACCTACTGCATTCTAACTATCCTAAATTATAACATTTCATTCTTACTGTTGCAACCGATAAACTGAGTATGTGAGTAGTGGCTAGAAGGATTAATAAATTTATATAATTATTCTTATGTATTTATTTATGACGTGAACAGTAGAAAATAGAGCAGCATTGTTAGTAATGTATTCTGGATATTTTTGAGCTATACTACAGCTAATTACGGTAATAATAATTTTATTTAAAAAAAATTTAACATAAATGAAGTAACAGGAAAAGGTTATGCTGAATATTATATACACATCGATACTCAATATTATATGTTTATTTAATATTCCAATGTAATTATGCTGATTTGTTTTGCTGTTTTGTAGGGTACTAATGATTCGAGTATTTTTTTAAAGAAAACGATTTTTTTTTCAAGATTAGTAAGTTTGCTATGAACCATTTTTTGGTTTTATCTGATTTACACAAATCCATAATGCTATAGATAATTAATAATCGTGGAATGTAATGAGTCATTTTTGATTAATCAAATTTGTATGATGTAATTTTTAAAAAATCGATTTTTTATCAGCATAATTGTCAAAACGGATTTCCCACCTTTATGTTTATGTAAAATTGATTTTTGGACTTAGCTTTCTATGGGAAAACAATATTTCTTCAGTATTTAGTATATGTAAAAAATAAAGCTCTCGTTTATCAAATCTTCCTGACGCTGCAAATTTTTCGTTTATTTATTTATTCATTTATTTTTAAGCCGTTAGACCCTAAATTCCTTGTTCTTTGTACTTGTATGTGTACAAACAAAAATAACTTGTGGCACATATGGATATAGTCGATGAATTAACAAGGTAATTGGTTCCGTTTTGGTCAGGACGTTCCGTGGACTATTTTTAGGCCATTACCCACCCACTGGAGGGGATCGCCAATTTTGGAATGCTTCACGACCAGAAATACACAAGAAAAAACGTTCGATTCGGTCTGTTCGAAGGAAATGCACTTTTGCCAATGATTGCAAACCATGGCACTAATCATTGCTTTGTATGTATAAATTATGTAAAAGAAAAACAAGGCCCCAAAATCGAAAGAAGCAGAAGAAACGTAAAAATGTGACGAGGAATTATAAATAAAATATTATCACGTGTAATCACATTTTAAATTTTTTTATGATAAAATATTAGAAAACCACGTTAATAAAACAAAGCAGGAAGTTTCCTTGATTACTTTTGTACATTTTTAATTCAAATAGTTTACTTCAAATACAAGCTTTATTAGTTACTTTTTATTTATTCCCGTTTCAAGACCCTGACCATTTTTCTCCCATAATTTTTATTTTCTATTTTCTGTCAACCTTTAATTACAAAATAAAAGTTTATCGGGAAAATAATTACAAAACATATTTATTACGCTTATTAAAAAAAGATAATTTATTTATTATACTGCATTGTTCAACCTAGTCCTAGCTCTAATTAGTTTTTTATAGTACATTTTTTTTTAATTCAACATTGCGATATAAATTTTTTTATAGTTTTTTCTGTTTTTTGTACCAAATTGAAATTCAAAACAACAAAAATATAAACTTTTTGTATATTTTTTGTTCTTTCCCCGTTTCATGACCATGTCCTCTTTTTTCCCACATATTGTTTTGCTCGCTTTTCCCTCACATCTGTACTAATTTTAACAAACAGGATATTTCCTATTATCCTTTAATTGATAGATCTAAACGTTTGCCAGGAAATTATATACCAAATTATTATTTATTACGCATCTTTAAAAAATTATCTTCCTTATTTTCTTTTAGCCCGTCTACATCTTTAGATTGGTTTTTTTCTACTTCCGTTTCACGACCATGGCCTTTTTACTACATACAGAAATCTTTTAGTCAGTTTTTTCAGCTTTTTTGGTACAGCTATAAAAAAATGAAACAAGCAGAATATGTTTTCTGTCCTATAATTGATAGAACTAGAAGTTTAGCAAGAAATTATATTCCTAGATATTACATTCTTTAAACAAGTCTTCTTCTTTAAACATTCTTTAAAAAAGTATCTTCTTTGTTTTATTACACCACAGCCACGTGACTGCTTTGTTCGAGGCGAAGAAACTTTCTTAGCCTAATCTGCCTACTCTATTGTTTTTAAATCCTGCATTGCGTTAATCTTGTTTTTATAGTTTTGTCTGTTTTTGTACCAAATTGAAATTCAAATCCACAAAAACAAACGGTTTTGGTATATTTTTTTGTTTTTCCCCGTTTCATGGCCCTGATTTTTTTCCCTCATATTGTTTTTTTTTTTTGCTTTGTTCGAGGCGAAGATATTTTTTAGCCTAATCTGCCTGCTCTATTTTATTAAATCCTGCATTACGTTAATCTTGTTTTTATAGTTTTGTCTGTTTTTGTACCAAATTGAAATTCAAAACGACAAAAACAAACGGCTTTGGTATATTTTTTCGTTTTTCCCCCTCATATTGTTCTGTTCGCTTTTCCCTCACATCTGTACTAATTTTAACAAACAGGATATTTTCTATTATCCTTTAATTGATAAATCTAAAAGTTTGCCAGGAAATTATGTACCAAATTATTATTTATTACGCATCTTTAAAAAAGTATATTCCTTATTTTCTTTTAGCCCGTCTACATCGTTAGATTGTCTTTTTTTCATCTTCCGTTTCACGACCATGGCCTTTTTCCCACAAACAGTAATCTTTTGGTCAGTTTTTCCGGCACAGCTATAAAAATGAAACAAGCAGAATATGTTTTCTGTCCTTTAATTGATAGAACAAGAAGTTTACCAAGAAATTATATTCTATATATTACATTCTTTAAACAAGTCTTCTTCTTTAAACATTCTTTAAAAAAGTATCATCTTTCTTTTATTATACCACAGCTACGTGACTGCTAGTTCGAACCGAAGAAATTTTTTTAGTCTAATCTGCCTGCTCTATTTTTTAAAGTTTTTTTTAAATCCTTCATTGCGTTAATGTTGTTTTTATAGTTTTGTCTGGTTTATATCAAATTGAAATGCAAAATCATAAAAATATAAAATTTTTGTATATTTTTTGTTTCGCCCCGTTTCATTACACTGACCTTTTTTCCCACATACAGTATTATTTTTGTTCGCTATGATTTCCTCGCTTACTTTGAACTATCTGACAGCTCTTGACATGTTTAGCTCGAACCAAGTTCGATAGCTTCCCTCATATTCGTCGTCATTCAGGACAGAAGTCTGTGGTTCCTCTTCAACCCTCTTGTTGCCAGAAGCAAACTTTTTGAACTATTTTTGGGCAGTATTATTTAATGTACGTGTGATTTTGAAATCAAATCACTACAATGTATTTATTTTGGCCAAAGGCTCCGTCGCCATTCTCATTCCTAAAGGTCACAAACCTCTCAACCACATATCCTCTTACTGATCAATCATACTATGAAGTCCAAAATTTTCGAAAGACTCCTTTTAAAACGCTTAATACCCATATTTTATTTTTTAAAAATCATTCCTTCTTACCAATTCGGGTGCAGTCCCCCATTATTTCACGATCCAGCAAAGCTTCAGTGTTGACAGGGTTGAAACCATTTTTTCCGAGAGAAGAAAACAAGAAAGAGTATTGCTAGGGTAAGTCTCTGAATGTGACAGATTTCTGATATGGTCTGGCACCCAGGCACCTTAATCTTGCATTACTCCTTCAATTATATTTGCATGACTGCTCCTTCAGAGTGAGGTGCAGCAACGAGTACTCAGATATCAGATCAAATGCCAGCATCACATGGGAGCATTCGTGTTCCCAGCCTGTATACAATTTATTTAAACTTACCATCTATGCGAATGATACCATGGTTTTGTTTTCCAATCCGAATCTTATCCAAGCACCCTCCAACATTCAAGAAGACCTTGAGTTTATCAAAGACTCACTGCTACAATTAGGGAGGGCTAAACTCACAGGAGTGATAGAACTATTTACCGGTCATACGTTCCCAAATACTCGGTCGTCCTTAAAAGGACAATGAGGATCTTTAGCATCCGTACCTGGATCATGGCCTTACCGGACGTTTTGATTCTCAAGATGAGTGATGACGCACCTACGCTCACGACTTAATGGGTGTTACGCATTGGTGTAGAAGTAACCTCACTCCCCGCTTGCCCATTCCGAGTGGTCGGTTCTGCATTTTACTTCAGACCGTATGCCGCGCTTTCTACCCAAAGTGGCTGAAATGCATCAGCCTGGTCTCCCACGCACTTCCTAGATAGAGAACTCTATCTCCCAGAGTTTTGGGGCTCCTCCAGCGTGAGAACTTCAGGATCCGCTCCGGCCGCGGTTTTGTTTAAGTGGAATTGCTAACCACCCCCTAGAGGAGACTGCCTTCGGTAAAGGAAGCTCATTCAGGCACCACCGACTACTATCTGTTCCATCCGCCACTTCTCACGCATTCGAGAGACTCCATCAGCGTAGTCTGAGCGTCCTCAACGCTATACGCTTCGATGGCCTGATCCTTCGTATTCAGTGAGGCCGGGGGTTGTAAGGAAGGCCATACGCAAATGTTTGGGCGGAGGTCATAGATAGAAGAAAAGCCTCTTCTCTAAGTACCCGCCAAGAGCATCGCCACTAAGCCACTACGAGTCTATTCCCATGTAGCAGGTACTTGGAAAATTTTCTGCTACCCCGTAGTTCAGATGGTTATGCACCCTCCCCCGTCTATGCAGACAGGATCTGGTACCCTAACCCGCTCTCCGCTGCCGACCACGAATCCAGCTTGTGCTTTAGAGACGCTCCCAAGGCTATACCATTATGTTGTGCCTGGATTCCTCCCTTGCATCCAAGGGTTGGGAGAGGTCTCAAGGAAGTATGCCGAAGGACCTGGATTGAGAAAGGGAAGTGACCACCAAGGACACACCTTTTCAAGCTGCACACCCCGCCTCGGCCACACTAAACCAGCCATTGTCACCGAAGATGTCACATTAACTGCTCCCCTGGGTGGAGCCTATTCCTATTTACCTGTCAGTGGCAAATGAGAAAACATCTACATAACATTCAATAATATTCAATGATGACCTCATTTGTAGGTTATGCATTGAGGAAGAAACAGCCACCCATGTCATCTTCGAATGGGAAACAGCTGCTCAATGAAGACATAGCCTGGGATGCAAGGAAAATTCGGGGAATGGGATTGTAGTAACGACAGTCCCTGACTTACTTCTTAAAAGTAGGATAGAGTGGAATGCACTGATCCAAGGGAACAGAAAAATCCAATAATCCAGAAGACTTGGGGAGAAACTCACTTCTTAGTCTCCTTTCATCATTAAGGATATCCTGATAGAAATTCATTACCTACATTTTGTACTCAATCATTTTTTATTGGAGAAAAAGAATAAAATTGTTTGAATTTTGCTAGGTTGTTTTAATCCTATGAATCAAACTAGCACACGTCCTTGCTCGTGGTCGAAATGTGGTACTTCCGGAAGACTTCTTTGTCCCGTGTTGTAAAAGTAAATTGCATTTCCGGCTTCCCTGTTTTTGTTGCCGTTCTTAAACTGTACAAAAAAACTTATACTGAACAATTTAGTGGGGCGTCGGTGGCCGCAACGGTTTAAGGCGTTGACACGGCGCTCATCACTGAAAGGTAAAGGTCCCGGGTTCGAATCCAGCGGCCCTGCATTCGAACCCTTCGAACTTACAAAGGTTTTTTTTTTCAAAAACAC